TGCAGTAACATAGAGAGAGAGACACAGCAGTAGAACCTCAACAGAGTCAAAATGACCCCCTCACTCAAACCGGTCGGCATTCACATTTAGATCACACAAGAGGGAAGAAAGAAAAAAGGCAGCAGATAAAACATTTAAATAAAAAAAAGTTCCAAAATGTTTGTTTTGATTCTCTAACAACGTCTTCTCCTCTGATTCTGTTCTAGCACCTTTCAGTGAAAACAAAAGCATCTAGGTGGAAAATAATACAGTAGCTGTCAAACAGAAATTGTTACATTGCTATACTGTTAAATGTAGTGCACGTTAGCATTTTGAAGAAGTGGTGAGTAGGATGCAGGATGAAGCTGCAACCACCGCGGCTCATGTGTCCTAAGCTGCAGTTCCTCTGATGACCACTAGATGCTGACTCCAAGAAAGATGTATAACCCTGGATGATGGCATGGAGCTTTAAAGACATGGTGATTAAAGAGCAAAAGGAGCTTTTGAGTTGCATTATGGTAAGCGTAGGATCAATCATTTTTGGAGCTTAACATAAATTAGAAGTCAGGATCGAGACAGCTACCATTGACCACAACCGGGGGTGTTAACATACAATCTAAAACACTTGGTCTATATTTTATGGGCTATTTCTATTACTTTTCAGATTTTAAATTTGACTATTTCTGTTCAATTAATACCTACAAAGTGAAGGATTCATTATTTTCTCACTAAACTTTAACTCCCGGCAGTGTGGAGAGAACTGTGAAACAACATTAGACCTTATTGTTGGGAATTTGAAGGGTTGTGTAGTTCACTTGACCTTTAAGCAGCAGACTGGACTTAACATTCTGTTACAGAACAAACACTAATGTTAACTGCTTTGTTTTTTTACAATAACTACAATGTTTCCTGACCTGAACCAAGTGTTTTAGTTGCCGATCCTTAACTTAAAAAACTAAGGTTTAATCACCACATCTGTAAAAACCATCCTGTACGCAGTATGTAGAGTACTCCAATATAAATAATTTGTCAGATGATGCAATATTGTATTGAGGGGGTGGAGGTCGTCTGGACTCATGATTGTCAGTGTTTCTAAAATTCTGGCTCAATCACTATATCTAAATTATTACCATATGTAAACAGGATGCACTACGATGCAATAACAAAAGTTTCTTTTTCTTTTTTAATTACAGCTACAAATAACTGATATGACTGCAACTGTAAGATTGAGTACATGATGTAAACCACCTGATAATCCAAAATATCTTTTTATTTTTATTTTCCATTGCCTCTGAGCAAGTATTATGAAGCTCTTTATCTATAATATTCCCATGTTGCACAAAAAAAGTTTAAAGTTTAAATCAGCTAAATTCCATTGAACACTGTCACAGTGCAATAACCATTTGCTTTGTAATTGTGCAAATACTTACTTACTTAAATAATTACACAAATGTCCTGTCTAACGCATGAATGACGTCTTTGGCACAAAAGCCGACTGTGCGAGTCAGATTACGGCTACTTAAACCCATTCACACCCATGTAGGAGTACGTCTGGGTATAAAGACAGGGACGGGAGGAGAAGCAGCTTACAGGAAACCTAAGCCTAAAGCAGAGCCAGGATTTCACGGTCTACATCGGAAATGTTCGATATTATATTGTCTGTGCTTGTACTGAGTCTTCTAAAAGATAAAGATGTGTTGACCATCCAGAGCCACTAAGAATGTCAAATATTACAATGTCAAACTTTTCAAAGGTTTTGTTTTTGGAATTAGTTCTGTTTCGTGCTTAATTTCCTTTTTGTTTGTGATCCAGCTTCAACATAACAGTTAACTGCAGCTGTACAGTACAGAAACTTAAAATATACACAATCAATGTCAAACCAATTCATAATGAAATGATAAAAAGCCAGAGACCTCATGTTGGAGGTCAACATAACTCAATACTTTGGAGACTGCTTCCAATTGTGACTTTCTGACCTACCTTTTACTTTTGATGGAAAAGAACAAGAGATGATATAGGATCGGAGCGTCCCTAAAAAGAACAAGTCACTGCTAAAATAATAAAAGGGGGCTTGCAAGAAATTTAGGAGGCTGAAGTTTGGTCGAGTCGATGACAAACACACAATGTTACCGTAGTTATATTGTATTGTGTCAGGATGAACTACTTCAGATGTATCATTGTTGTCGAGGGAGTCCCAGTATTGGAAAACTAAAAAAGTCAAGCTACTTCTGAGGAAACAGTGGACAACATACAGAAAGAAATTCATTCAACTCATTCAAAAAAAGCTATAAAGTAATGCATTCTATTCTATCGGAAAACATCGAAGTGTGCAACCCAATATGCAAAAGAAAATAAAGCCAATGTGAATTTTGCTAAGGACAATAATACAATCCTGAAATGTTCAGAGCAACAGTAAAAGTACATGTTATCAGAGCTGGCACAATGATAGAGGGGGTGAAGGGAAAACACATAATATAGATATTCAAGATATTCAAAATAAAAAAAGTCTGAATAGAAAAGTAAATAAAAGCAGCCACAGCTCCACAGAACATGAAGAGAAAAGCCAAAGAAGAAGGGATGATGAGAACAAGCTGGTGATGAGCAGAAGAAGAGTACAGTACCTTTTACTCTAATGTCCGGATTGTGAGCTTTGAGAAGGAAGGACAAAAACAAAGGAAGAAAGGAGATAGATAGGAAGAGCATTTAGTCCAGAAAAATAGGCAGTAGAATAGTAAAAAAGATCTCATATCCAGCATCACAATTAGTGAGGGCAGCTGATCAATGAAAAAAGAGAGAAAGAGAAAGAGAGACAGAAAAAACTAAATATAATATTAACACAAGTGAATTTTCAGGGTCCAAAATCAGGCCGACTTTTGTTTCTGTTATTTTCTTGTTAAACACTGAACTGCTGTCTTTACGAGAAATAAAAACCGTGAACATGCTGAAATATAAATACAGCTAATTATTGAATATGGAAACAAAGCTACAGTGTGGTCACAGGTTCTAGCAAACTTAAACACCAGGTATAAATGTGATGGTTAGAGACAAGAGGACAGAAGAAGTATGAATCCTCTCCCCAGCCTTGCAATCTGTCTAAACAATCGAGCTGTTGGCCAAGCCTTCCAAATGGATTTCCCCTCATCTCACTGCTGTTTGCAACTCTTTCCCAGCAAAACTGTAGCTGTCTGTCTGTTTGACAACAAGAGAAGGGTTTGGTGGTGAGCTGAAGCTGCCATAGAGGTTCTACTGCTCATCTGTTTCACTGTTGAACTAGTACCACACAACAGGATAGCGTCTCCCAACTCATAGATACTCACTTAAAAACCCAATGTCATTGTCAATACTGTAGATACCAAGCAAATTAAGTTTATGTGTATATATTTGATTTGCTATTTGATCTTATTTGATTCAATTCAGGGGCCTGCGATCGATCAGTTATATTTCACAAAAAGCAACAAAAAATATTTGTCGATTTAATTCTGGGCTCTGTAGGAGGGAGGTGCACTTGGACAGAAATGGTAACATAGATGCGCCATGAATATATCAAAATAAAAGCGTATCTTAAATATGATGTATTGACTTTTTCACTTTGCATCGATGACATTGAATCATGGATGATTTAATCGGTATATCAATCCAGATCAATGTTATTGTTCTTAATCATTTAATCATTCTTCTGTGTGCAATATATATTTCATTATGATCATCTGAAAGGTGCCAACTCACAAAAAGCAGTCTCCTTTTTTTGCGGCTCTGAAAAACTCACTGTAAACTGTACGAGTCCAACTGCTTTGAAAAATGAGGACACAGCGACCAAAGCTAGCGGCAGACCAAAATAAAACTTGGTTGCTGTCGGGTTTGTGTGCCCTCTGCAGGATGGTGTCTGTATTCAGCCAAAGATTGTTTATGAGGTAAAAGAAGCAACAACAACCACAACAGAGATACGTCTTCCATCTAGCAGATCATGTGACGGCTATTTCACATTATCCAGGTAAAGTTTCTTCTATTATCCATCATATTAATAATTTAATCGGATCCAATTTATAGTTTTGAACCAGGACCTTCATGATTGAGATCAAGTTAAATGATTAAGAGGTATTATAATATTCAAAATATTGCCTAAGTAGGGACTTTTCCTAAAATACTGCTGGTTCTGTGGTGTTGGCATTTCAAATCGAGTCAGATATTCTTCTCAGGAATAAGTGAAGACTAAACAGAGCTAAGAAGAGAGTGAATATGGGACTAACATTCAACAGTTGGACAGAAACACTCCAAATTAATGTCAATGTTAGTCTTTATTAGAATCACAATTTATTAATCTCAATTCTAGTGCAGCAACCTAGATCATTCTTAGATAATATTGATTACTATTAACAAGGGGTGGACTATCCTTACAGCACTAGCAGTGTTTTAACTTGTGGGATAACCACAGGTGATAAAAAGGAGTTCATGATGATGTCATCTCCCAGCAAGATGGCAAACCATGACTGACTCTACTGGACAATTTTGTTTTTTTACAACAATGGATATCATTTTCACAAGGGACACTATCACAGCTCCGGTATTATTGGACGCCAGCGACAACCAACAAAAATATGGACATCCGTATAATTAGCAGCAACAGTTCCCGCTAATCTCACCGTGGCAGCAGCCATGAAGAAAAGAGGCTATAATATATCCGTCATGGCGTCCTATTGCAGAAGAAGAGTCTGCCTACCCACCAACTCTTCTAAGGCTTTGTAATGATGTGCTACTGTTTTATTGTGTCCTACTGGGAACTTAAGTAAGTCATGAAGTCATGCCAGATTCAAGCAGAACTTTACTGTCTTTTCATTGTGATCTGACTACCACATTTCCTCTCACTGTCTTTGCACAGAGCACATATATGCTTTTCTAGACATCCTCATTTACACAGCCTCCCTTTCCCTTCTTACACTTTTTCCTGTAGTGTGTGTGTGTGTGTGTGTGTGTGTGTGGTCGCGTGTGTCGTCGTGTGTGTGTGAGGCATGTGATCCACTCACCAATATTGCAGTGCTCCCCTGTCCATCCCTGGTCACACTCACACTTCCCTTCCTTACACACTCCGTTCTTGCTGCACAGAGGGTGGCAGGCCTTCTGGTCACACACCGTTCCTGTCCAGCCCTCCTCACATCGACACACACCGCCGTAACAGACGCCATGGCTGCCGCAGTTCACCTCACACACCTCTGTAGGAGAAACAAAAAGAGATATTAATACATGGAATCACAATGCTAACTGATTTGATACTTTATACTGTATTTACTAGCTCATGGCACATCAATACTGTACTTCAGCAAATGTGGTTTAAGGCACTTAAAAATGATCATAAACAATACAGTAAATATGCATAATGTGAAATATGAGTCATGGTATCTGCCTGGATTGTAACGATCTGTGTTGTGAGTGTCTTCATAGGTCCAGAACACGCCAGAACAAACAGTATATTTGTGCTTGCGTGTGTGTTTCACAAAGCGACAGCACTTAATTGGAAGTGTGTTTAATGGATTTGACAAGACAATACTCTGCATAACAGCCAACGGCAACACAAATAGAAGTGAGAACGTGTACTCACACAGACATACTCTTTCCTGTTTTTATGTCAAGCCATCTGTTACTGATCTGCATTCCTCCAACAGCTTTTATTATCTCACCTCTTTATCTGCATTAGTGCTGTCACTTGCTGCTGTTTTTCCCCTGACCTAAACCTAACCAAACCCTCTCTATAACAGCGGCAGGTCAGAAAAAAGCCATATGAATTTTGTAAAAGCCGTATTCTTTTAGGAAGGAACCTTCAATTGATCGAGCATTTGCAAATGCACTGACAAAAAAACGATTCTGTCATCTAGTTTTGAAGGACTTTAAAATACAACACTCTGCCCAATACATTTAGGAGGAAATGAAGTGACGGTTATGCTCTGGTAATGTTTTTGACAATTTAGAGACGTGGATGGGATTAAGGTTAGGGAAATATGGTGGTTTTGGTTAAATACTTTAAAAAGTAAATATGTCCTGTTTCATGCTGTAAGTTAGCATTGACTTTTTAAATAATCAACCAAGACCACAATCTTTTCAAAACCTTAATCAAGTACTTTGACTTTCCTAAATATGATCATAATCATTATTATTGCTTTAGCTGCCAGCAGCAGATATTGTAGGAAAAAAAACACATTTTGAAAGTCAATGTTTTGCAAGTAAAATTCTATATTATTGTTTCCTATTTAAAGAAATGTAATTCAGGTGTCTTTATTCTATCACCAGTTGTACAGTATATGATGGTTATTTATAAGAGACACGATTGTGCATTGGTACCAGAGCAGAACTATTTACGGTGTTGAGAGTGTCTCCAAGAGAAAGTTCCCTTTTTGTTTCTGAACTCTTTCAGTGATTGTGTCAACATGTGTCATGTTTTATCTTACTTATTTATCCACAAAGACCATAAAAAACTTATCTGTGCTACTTTTTCACATCGCCCAGATTGTTGTACTCTGACTCCTTCCACTGTCAAGAGACGGCTCTTTTATTTACAGCTACTGCAAACCACAGCTGCAGGGTGTGCAACACACTGCAAGTCATCTTGAGACCATTGCTCCTCTCTTCTAGTTTCTCTTTATTGGCCGCCAAAAAATTGATTTAGAGAGGCTGCTGATTTCACTGGTCTTAATGCGGTTTAGCCCCCAGCTATGCCAATGACCTTGCTCCCCCTCCTCACAAGCCAGAGTGTGGTATCCGCCAGCAAGGTTCTCCTGGCTCTTTCAAACTCCTGGCTAACTTCTAGAGGTGAACATATTTTTGCCATCAGAGCAGCCGCGCTGCAGAAACGTACACTGCCTGTAAAACAAATGTTTTAAATCACTCCACAGAATTATGTTTACAGGTACTGGTTTCACATAATGGAGCATCTTATTCACCTTATGCCTTGCTGCTTGTTTTACAGACTATGTATCCCGTCTTTTATGCCTGTTCCTAGGGCCTCACATCTTTAACACTGTTATCTTAATTATGTTCTGCTCTGTAATTGCTTTTTTGTTTTAGTTTCATGCAGATCTAGCTCTTCTTTATCCACTCTTAATTATTCCGTAAAGCACTTTATTAACTCTGTAAAGCTTGGTGCCATGCTGCTTTTACAAATGCCGTAAAAATGAAGTCTAGTTTTTTTATAGATTGTGTAAGTCATGAGGCGGGAAAGACAGAAAGAAACATCTACAACGACAGATTGTCCCACCACAAGACATTAAACGTGACACACACCTAAAGAGCATTCGGGCCCGGTCCAGTTCTGGTCGCAGGTACAGGTGCTGGTCTCTGCGTTGTGGGTGCCGTGACCCGAACACTGGTCCGGACACATGGCCTTTGTGATCTCACAGCTGGCTCCGCCCCAGCCGGGCTGACAGTGACACTCCCCATGAATACACACCCCATGGGCTGAACAACTGGGGTCTATGCAGTCCACTGGAGACAGAGAGATGAAGAGGGGGAGTTAACCGTATAGCAAATAGTGACTGTTGTACATATAGTACACACATACACACACACACACACACACACACACACACACACACACACACACACACATTACAGTTTGTACAGTTTTGTACACTTGAGGGAAACAATAAGTAGTAGTATGTAATGTCTTTTGTCTTGCAATAAAAAAAGAGTATTTTTCAAATAATAGATTAGAAACTGTAGCTCAACACAGAACTCAGACATTAAGTGTTGCTCATAAGCACAAGCCTTATGGACAAGACAAATAGCGTTGATGCCATTTTTTTGTAGATTGTAAGCCTTTATATTCAGAAACAATAAAACTTCTAATATTGGTGTCAATCTGTTAAAACTTAGATAAAACAATCAGGCAACTTCTATCCAGATCCCTTGACTTGCGGGCTACCTTCTAGACATTACCCAATTTCATCAAACCAGTACCATAGGGAGTGGGGAGTTGTGACATTTTCAGGTATTCTGTGACATTATTAGAATAATATACCTGACTCATAATGTGTGATCATAACTACATACTATATATTTTATAATAATAAAATCAAATATAAAATAAAATGTTCTGACTTTGTTCATCAGCTGGTCGCTAACTGCCTGCTGTTTGGTGTGCAGTACAGGTTGCATACAGTGTTTATATCTATTTATTTGTTTCAGGGAACCTGCATATGCTCGTTGTTCTGTTGCTGAGAGTCAAGAAAGAACTGGAACCTGGACCCCATCCCCCTTCATAGGCTACTCATCAGCCACCGGCTCCTCTGCCCTCTTTCACACGCAGTGCCGCTCTTTACAATTTGACTGTGATACTTTATCATGAAAATCCTACTTGGCATCTTTGACATAATTTGCTGATTCAGCAGTCGTAAATGGGATTAACACACACACACATATACACACACACGCGCACACACACACACATTCACAGGCTCCGTTGTTCAGGGAAAATTATTTCTCATTTTCTCCTTCTTTATAGTCAGTCACAAAGGATTAGTGTGATAGAGGATTGAACTAATCTGGTTACCGTCCCCTATGATTTGTATTTGCATTTTTGAATGAGTGTGTATGTATATGCAGCATGTGCACACCTTTGTGTCTATATTTGTACACACCTGATGTGAAAGTGTGTCCCCGTGTAGAGATGCTGTCAACCACTCTGCATTGTCTGTGTATGTATGTGTGTGTGTCCAACCAGCAAATAGCAGATTAGTATTGATCAATTCAGATTAAATTAGTGTAGTGTACAGCTTGGAGCCTAATTTAGCCAACTACCTGTCAGCAATTTGACAGTTAACATGTATGTGTATTTGTGTGTGCGAGAAAGAGATTAGAGTAAATTAATTTAACCATGTGGTAGTGCTGTCTTAATGAACAAGCTGTCAGCAGCTGCACTTTAGGGGTGATTTTAGCTCATATTTACATGCAAGTAGTGGGATTATAAGATTGCAAACTTTATAAAATGACTTCAAACCTACAGAACATAACATGTACCTTTGACAAGTACATGTTATACATGGAAAGATCGTTACATGAGGTGAATTACAAAACCTTCAGTTTTTTGCCTTGAGGGATTATTCACCCAGATATGGAAAACATGTTCTTATTTCACAGAGCAGCAACATTTTAGCAATATGGAGAACTAATAAATTGGGATATTTTGGCACAGTAGGTCATTTAGTGTCCTGCAAGGTCCTCAAAAATGTTGGTTAAAACGATGTAAACTTTGCAAGTGAAACCGATTTATGAATTATTATTCTATTATAACAAATTGCATGGCTGTTTGTATTTCAAAAGTAAATGTCATGGGTAGCAATAAATGTGCGCTAAATCAATTATTTATGTTGACATTTAAATATGTAGTAATGTCGTCACCAAATTCCAGCACGTCGATGGAAAAGGAAGCAGAGTAGTGTTAAAATGTCCCAGGGGGCTAACTACTGCCAATAACATAATATGTAACTAATGCACCTTTTTGTATTTGTCCTTGGAGGAAATTAGTCTTACCTTCTTCACAATTGTCGCCCTTATAACCAGTATTGCAGATGCAGGCACCCATTATGCAGATGCCGTGTCCTCCACAGTGGATGTCGATGCACTGGTTGGTTGGCACGTCACACTCAGTGCCTTTCCACCCGCTGTAGCACTGGCAGCGGCCACGGGAGTACTGGCCATTGCCACTGCACAGCACTGGGCAGGCAGCTGGACCAAACACATGCAGTACAATGGATCAGTTAGACATGCTGGCTTTATAGACTCGTTAAATCAGACTCTTGAACCTACAAAGTTCCCCTTAAGCTCACACATTTTCAATTAGTGCAGTCTTAAAATTTCACAAATGACTATGTCCACGGTCAAAAAAGACAATTGATTTCATCTCCCAACAATTACTGCCTCTCTATGGGTGGCAGAGTATTTGTATTTGTGTGTGTCTGATTACCTCGAGAGCAGTCAGGCCCCAGAAATCCTGGGAAACAGTGGCATATTCCTGAGAGACAATCTCCGTTTCCATGACAATTCTGAGGACACTCCATAATCGACTCTGATTAAGAGAGAGAGAGAGAGAGGGAGAGAGAGAGAGGTGGTTTAAAGGTGTAAGTTAATTGGGTAGGCTGGATATACAACTGTACATCTTAAAAAAAGAACACACACATACGTGCACACAGCATCGGCCCTCTGTGGTTGCCGTAGTTACAGCCAGTCCAATCAACACATTCTGACATCCATTTATCCCGCTGCCTTTCTTTGTCTCTCTCTCTTTTTCTGTCATACACACACACACACACACACACACACACACACATACACTCCATTGCTGGCTCTCTACCACACCTCACTGTTTCCTGCACACTCTTGCATGCAGAAAAAAAAAAAACATTGGCAAAAATTCCAATTGTTTCTAAAATGTCCCATTTTAACAATAACTACCAAGTAAAATTCAAAAAAATGTTATTTGACCGACTACATGATCTTCTGAATACTAAAAATATACAAGATGAATTCCAGTCTGTCTATCAGATCCACCATATAACTGATTTATTAAAGGTAAGAAATTACCTGACAATTTGTACTGATTCAAACAACATAGCTTAGATTTGCATTCCATACAATTGCTCATGGCAGACATTTTTTTTCAGTTGAGGCGACTTTGTGTGACAAAGAGTTAGACATGGTTATAGCTGCATTGCACTGTTTCGTATTATAAAAATGTCGTTTTTATCTGACTTCCTGTAATGTCAAGGTTGTATAATGCAGGTTTAACTGGTGGGCTCACAGTCATTAAGTAATGTTGTATGATTGTTGTCATGTGTACTTTAGAAGTGCACCTACACCTCCTAACAGTAACTCACCTATAAACAAAACGTACAGTATTCACTTTATTACAAAAATACTGCTTTCTCTCACCTATGACAATGGTATTGTAAGAGACTTGTTCTGAGTTGCGTCCGTCGTTGTAAAATGCCAGATGCCAGATTCCTGTGTCCAGGTACTGGATGAAGCCAGCCTCGTGCACGTTCACTGAGCGTGTGCGACGGGCTCCTCTTCCAGACTCCTCCTCATGTGCACCAGCTGGGTGTGCATGTCCTGCGTCCGTGTCACTGAGCGCTCGTTTGTCTTTGGAAATGAGGCGACTACCGTCCAGTAGCTCCACAAAGTCGTACTGTAAGACGAAAAATACACAAGACATTGAATATATTTTTTCTCAGTACAAGATTTAGCATAACTGTAACAAACTTAAAGTTGTACAGCATGGTATATGTTACATTACTGGGGGCAAGGCCTATGGATAGCAATGGTGCTCAGACCAACTGTGTGTCCATCTTAACAACTAGCCATATTTCCATTGAGTTTGGGAAGATCATCGATGAACTTCAGAGAAATATGGATTTTGGTAAGTCTCCGACCTTTTATCTCGCATAATAGTCAACTAACAAAACACTTTAGTCCATGAGAAGGTATATCAATCCCTAACGGATGGATTTACAAGGAATTATTTATGGTCTTTAAAGTTTGATTCCTGATGTTTTAGATGTGGGGTTTAATAAACAGCCTTATGTTTGCTATTTCTTTCATTTAATTCATAGATGACATGGAGGATAATTGTTAATTCATTCAGTCTACTTGTTGATAGTATGCCTCTGATCAAATAACATTTGAATCAAGCTTAGATTAACACACAGGTCACGGTGAACTTTGGCCCCTGACCACCAAATTCTTATCGGTTCATCCTCGAGTCCAAGCGGACTGTTGTGTGTAATTTGAACAAATTCTTGTCTGACGTTCCTGAGGAATCTAATTCACAAGAAGAGGCCGGCTTTGAGGTCACATTGACCTCAATCTTTGACCTTTTACCACCAAAATCCAATTACTTCCTCTTTGAGTCAAAGTGGACTTCCAGGCATTCCAAAAATATCACGTTCATGAGAATGGTAGACGGACGGACGACCTTAAAACATAAAAAAAACAAACAAAAAAAAAAACAAAAAAAAACATAATGCCGGGGTGGAGCAATAAAAAAGAGAACTTAGATGGATTAAGGTTACGACAAGGACACACACACACACACACAACACTGTCGATTATCTAAAGTGCTAACATTGAGCTGTGATAGGGGTGGCATTGTATGAAGCTGTCTTTTACAGATAAGTGGATTAGTTCCTTGATAGAAGACATGATTCATCACACAGAGATGTAAGTGTAGTCAAAGGGTAGTTTAGGTTTGTAAGAAGCTTATCTGCTTCATTATTAGCCAATAATCCATAAAGCACTTGACCTAGACGCACTTGCTAAGTTGCAAAAGGGATTAATGGTTTTGACATTTTGGGAGGCAGAGTTTTTTCATCACTTATGGTATTTGTTAAAAGTAGAAAGGCCAGAGGATTCTGGGTGGTTGAGGGCAGACTTTCTTAAACGCTATGTCAGAGATCTCCATATAATGGTGGTTACTGATCTGATTAGATAACATTTCTTTCTGTTGACACAGATGAAAACACCAGATCCTATCTTGAACACAGGGTTGTTATTTAGCAGTGGACACAGGTGCTGCCCTAGCTTCTGTGAACTTTGCCTTCTCAGATTGTTCTTTCTCACACATCTCATGTGAGGGCCCATCCCATGTTAGTGGCAGTTTTACCATGGCATCTATCGATTCCTCTCTGATTTGCACAAGCTTTCTCTTCTAAATAAGGTTCTGTCGAGGTTTTCATTCTATGCTCACATGGTTGGTGGTGCTTAGTGATTCAAGCCCTTTTAAGACATGGATAAGGTATGGATGCATAACAATGCTGGCTTCAACTATCGGTTAAAGTGATGGCATTTTGTCACTGTTTTATAAAATCCAGTGGGGCACAATGAAAAGACGTTTAGTTGGGACTCCTGTTATAGTCTTACTTGCTCTCATGCTGTATGTAAAGCCCTTTGCGTGATATTCATTTATTCGTCAATGTTGAGTAAGTGTATTCTGAAAAGACACTAGGCATTTAACAAGCGTACATTGACACGTCGTCCCTGACACGTCCAAAACTGACACTAGAGGGGTAACTAGAGTGTTATAGTCTGAAGCGTAGGGTCACTGAATTAGCATGTAATTGTATGTGCATTCACATGCATGTGTTTGTGCAACCAACCTGTGTGTGTGAGGGCGGCAGGCCTTTGCGTCCATACACTCCAACAAGAGCGTCTCTCTGGACGGAGATGTTGAATTTCAAAAACTGCGGTTGGTCAATATATAGCTGAGACCTCCAAAACACACCTTGAATAAAGAACAATAACAAACCAGCAGGAGTCAAAATCTTTCTTTTGTTCTTGATACATGTTCAGAAAATCCCCTCAGTATACCACATAAATCAATATACTCACACAACAATGCAACATAAATGTCATGGATGCTAGATACTCTATCACGCACAATAGAAACACATGTTTCAAACATTATATTATCAACCTCAATTTTCTTTCCAAAAAACTTGTATTTCTTTTCGGCTGTGTTGACATTAATTATTAATTTCCTGGAACTGCTGTCAGTATGCTGACTCAGAGTTATTTAGAAATATAGTATGTCCCATGCTTAAAACATTACAATGAATTATATTGCAATAAGCTAAATATTTAATCTTTAAAACAACTTAATGATTATTTAGAGAGGCTCAAAAAGTATGTAAACGATAATGTCATAATAAATAAGGGACAATGTAGGCGAGCTGGTCATTATTGCAAAAGGAACACCGACAGGTTGAGCAGGACCCTGATGGCTACTTACTAAAGAAATCAATAATTTGTATCAAAATATTGATTTGAAAATGTATTGCTTCCAAAAAAAAAAAATAGCCCTATAGCTTAAACTGCATCCATAGTAACGGTCTGTTATTCATAGCAGCTGTCTGCTAAAATGAATATCAGAATGCTAATCAGAACTGAATATTCAACTAAGCTGTGTAATAGAAAACAATAGTCACCCTCCAACATGCTTTAATTATTAAGGATTAACGTGACACATTCACACTAATATAAATGGGGGAGACACAATAATAGACACAGTCAGTGTAACACAATACAATTCAACAACCAAAATGACCATACAGTTCAATCAACACCTCTCTAAAACACTGAAAAATGACTGTATAATGCCACGGTAGTAGGATATATTGCAGGACTGTGGGATGAGACTTCATTAGTTTCAGCGACGGGCACTTTAAAAACTGGCAATTTAGTGTATTAAGCTTTTGTGAGTGTATCTTGTTGTGTGGGAATTTACACTTTGTTCATGATATATTTGTGTGTGTAACTTACCTGGTGGGACATCTTGTATGGCTCGTCTACCCACGTCCACCTCTCCTGTGTCTATGGTACTGTTCTCCAGAAGAAACGTTTTACCTGCAGAGAGATAAAAACAGAGAGTGCAGGAAATGTAAATCACAGTCTTGACCCTTCACTAAGCCATCATGCCATCATGCCATCAAGCCATCAAGCCAACTCGTCTGCCTGTACAGACTCGTGTACTCGCACTCATATGACTACAGTGTAGTTTGTTTATAGCCCGACATTATCTTTTTACTCCTGATGCTTGCATCCAGCTTCAAACATTATACAAGTGTTGTTCATCTGTAAAGATTAAATTGCTTAAAAAAAATATACCTTGTTTGCCGCAGAGCTAATTTTCTGCAATAATCCAATATCCAATCGAGAAAATCCCATTGGCCTTTGTCGAGGGAACCAATGAAATGCTAACTTCCAGGTTGGTCTACAAAAATACAACACCTCTGCATCATGCTATAACCATGTCTAACTCCGAATCCACAAAACCAGCCTGAAAATGAAGAACATCTGAAACCATTGCAGGACAGTCTTTGGAGCAGAGCTGGACAGATGTCAGACCCTGGTCAGAGCCGCTATATTTGGCCAGTCTTCATTCTAGGGGTAGATTTAGCAAGGGTCAGTTAAAATCTTTTCAATTATTTAATTTTTAATTGAATTATTTTAAATTTAATTCAATTTTAATTCACATTTGTCTGAGCTGTACCTCTCCAACATGTTGTCATGCAACATAACTTATGAAAAGGTTCATAACCTATCAACTTCAATGTGGTTAAAGTTTGGGGAAAGTAGAGCACTTCACACAGTTGTCTCAGATGGGATCCAGACCAATGGAATGGTTTGAGCACTGTTCAAAGTTTGTAATTTCATAGGCCTTTCCTGTTCAGAACATTACACTTTAACAGCTTAAGTCATGACATCTGGGCAGTAAACCAACACTGACCCTGATCTGTGTGTGTGTGTATGTGTGACAGTCTATACGTTAAGCGCATTCGCTACACTAATATGAGCTTCAACATATGACACAAGTCTTCAAGCCCAGCTTGAAGGCACACTCATCCATCTTTATCTCGAACACAACACACTCACACCACTGGCCTCCCTCTCTCTCGCTCTGTCTCTGTCATGGCCGGAGCAGACCATTCTGTTTTTAAGTTCTGCAGAAGCAATTGAGGACAAACAAAGTTCAATAACTTGACTCTGATCTTAATTTGTCTCAGTAAATTCAATGCGACCCATCGGGGAAAGCTTTCATCAGAGTTCCTTTCTTTTAGCGTCATTCCTCTCTTGAGAAAGTTGAGCTGCTTCTATTTCATATGGCACATTGGAGGTTTTTAATAAAAACAAAAGTTGACAGACCGTCTATTTGGCTGGTGTATTATGATGGGAAAAAACTATATCCTACATATTTAAAGCTACATTGAGGAACTTTTATTTTGTGTTGATATTTGCGGTCCCTGTGACAAAAGCAGTAGTGTTTTCCACACAAGAGTCCCTGCAGCAGGGTCTGACAGTCTGCTCTGTGCAGTCCAGGTCCAGTGCCCCCCTTCACTCAAATATGACCAGCTGAACCTGCATGAATTTGTCTGATTTATGGCAAAATCGGATCCGGTGGCCACAATGACAAGCATTAAGAATTTCTGTATAGAAATAGCCAATCCTCTCGCTGATGGTTTCATTTACTTATGTAGGTCATATAGAGGCATCATTATTTAATTGAGACAGTTTAAATGTTTCAAGTCCCTCAGAGAAACTTCAAAAAAACAACAGAATACACTGTTGTGTCCTGTACATCACTATTGGTCCTGAGGGATGTCCATGAAGCTGGCACAGTCTGAGTGTGTGTGCGTGTGTGTGTGTGTGTGTGTGTGTGTGTGTGTGTGTGAGTGTGTGTGTGTGTGTGTGTGTGTGTGTGTGTGTGTTGCCTTGTAACTCTGTGTAACTGTCTATAAGAGAAAACACAGCTGACAAAGATGTACGCTGGGGGTTCTAGTCGTCACACACATTTTGCGTGTACAGAATGTTTTGGTGCTTTGCTTATTTGGTAGTTTCTGGCCCTTGGATTAAACCTCAGCTAAATATACTATGCCATGCCTGTATACCTGTATTTATGAGTATCATTTGATATAGTCATTAGACACACTCAAGTTCAATTAGACTGCTAATGTGAAATTAGTTTAAGCCTAGGATAAACTGTAGTAGTGGAAGCAGACTACAGCAGAGACAAACATAATAATGAGCTACAAACACTACAAAACAGAATTGGCTGCATACCACTGTATATACAATAATTGATTTGCATCTTTGAATGAATGATACTTGAAATAATAATTAGCATGAGGTTCAGTTGATACTTTGATTGATGTATGATGCATAAGTAGAGCAGGATTAGTAGGGGTGGATCCATATGTTAATAAGGGGACTTCATTATGTCGAGGTCTGTTGTTCACCCATTAAAAAACTGGATGTTCCCCAGAACATCCCCATGGTACATCCTGGTGACTTAGGATATTTGCAAGTCTAATATGTAACTGGTACTGAAAGACATTTCTTTGTCATGCAATAGTATATAAATAAAACCCATTCCAAATGGAACATGTTTAAATAGATGAAAAACTACATTAGCTTACATATACAATCATGAAAATAATTGTAAAGTATGTGTGTGAGAGAGAGAGAGAGATAACATTTTAAATACATGTCTTGAATGTTGCAGTGTTTAGTAGATATTCACTTATTGTATGTGCGTTTGTATTTCCCGCTTGCTAAAGCTCTTTTGAATTGAATTGAAAATTGAAGAGAAAAGCCATTTAAACATTTTTTTTTCTACATCAATTACTTATTTTATTATTACTGTTTGTCCATTGTGTCGTGGTCAAGTTATATACTATTGGCAAAACATTTTTTTTACAAATATATTATAAACAGGAGTTCTATAGTACATTTTAGAAGGGTCTGGGCTCATTAAAACATTTTGCTGTTGCTACAAGATGTCCATAACCTAGTTGGACAGATCCAATCATTTTTAAAGCAAGCTGTTTTCATGTACTGTTCAGTAACCCAGGAGTGACCCAGGAGACAGCTGTAAGCAGTAGTAATTGATATTAAAACGTTGATTTATTTGTCACGTAACTTCTATATGTAATTAGAGCCACTTCCATACTTATTTTTACCCAAAACTACAATATTTTCCTAAACCTAACCAACTAGTGGTTAGGAGCACTGATCGCTTGTGTTGCTGGGCATAAAATAACTTTTTTAAAGATACCATATAAACCGTTGTATGAGGATACGTTGGTTAAAGTGACGATGAACTAAAACTTCAACTTGATGCTAGAAAGACATCTTGACTGGAAATGGCTGGGTATGTCACTTACATGCTACTTTTCACTATTCCATTTGATCTGAGAACGACTAACAGAAGCTCACATCTCAAAGAAAGTCAGAGTAGTGTGCGGAGACCGGCAGATGGTAACACCAGGTAAACACTGCAGGCTATACTGTGAAAGGATGTGTTCATTATGTTCAAATTACCTGACAGGATGGAGGGAGGGACTGTTTACTGGCAACCATTTTGACTAAGAATTACATTCAAATACACAGATTATGTAAAAACCCTTCTGGAGGAAACATAATGCCACTTACACCATGTTTTTTTAAATCCACATATCAGACAACATACATTAACTGCAAGATGTTCTGTGCCAATGCATTTTGCAGATATGTTCATACTGAATGGACCTTCTACTATACATGTGAACGCAGCCTCCACTATCACAGTCAAACACTATCCATCTCCATGACCTCTGCACTCTTAAATCTGCACCACACTACTTCCTGCATTGGCACTGAACATAAACCACAATTGCATATTAGTTGCATATGGATTTAATTATCAAAAGACAAGGGGTTGACTGCAGTGCTGCAATATGAGGATATGTAACATTTAAATACTACAGCAGGCAGAGCTTTCCCTCGGGTACAACCATTTCTGTTTGAGGCTAAGTGGCCTTCTCCTTGCTGCGTCACAAACTGTCACTGGAGCAAACATCATCTTCGCCAACTTTTCTCACATTTTTTGTTGCTTTTCTTGTCAGAAGAAAGGATTTTAAAAAGTGTTTAACTCACCATTGTCTGTAGACACCATAAAGGTGTTGGGAGTTGTATCTCGTCCCCCTCCTCCGTTTTCAAACGCTCCATATCCCTCACTCTCCTGAAGCTGCCAGTTTAGACCAAACAGGTGCATCGCTAGAGATGAGGAGGCAGAAGAGGACACAAGAGGAAAACAGGTAGGTCAATACAGGGTGGAAAATTAAAAAGAAGATAGAAAAGAAGAGGAGAGGAGAGGGAAAGAGAGGACATGTAAAGGGAAGATAAAAGAGGAAAACAAAAAACGATAAAAAAATGTCTGTCTGAGTCACTAACAGACAAAAGAAGAGTGAACATATAGTATACGTATATATATACCAATATATACCAGAACCACACACATATGTATATGTGTGTGGTTCTGGCTGTTTAAGCGTACTGTGCACTAGCAAGATGTTTTTGGAAACATGAATAACAACTAAAATGCTCTCAGGCTAGATGCAAAAATTAGATGGGCACTACACACACACACACACACACACACACACACACACACACACACA